CCCTTCGGTACTGGTACAGGCTTTAAATTTCCCAAAAACCAAACAGACATTTATATATTTGAAGGAGGATGGCGTCGAAGTTGGTGGAGTTGCAGGCGAAAGCAGTGAAGCATGGAGGGTTATACTACAAGCAGCTGTTGGATCAAAATAAACAACATATTCAGCATCCACCCACCATAGAAACATGCCAACTATTAGCCAAACAACTCCTTTACACTCGTCTTGCCAGGTTAGTTTTCCATTTTTAACTTTTATGTAATTATAAATGTGATACATGCATGCGTACATACATATGTCACGAGGTTGAACAAGGTATATTTGTGCAGTATCCCTCACCGTCGAGAGGCATTTTGGAAAGAACTAGAGTCACTCAAGCAAGCAGCGATGAGGCGGCCGGAGATGAACATAGAGAAAGCTGGCATCATTGCGCTGTTTGGGGTCGAGTGCTTTGCTTGGTTCTATGGCGGCGAGGTCATTGGCAGAGGATTTACATTCACAGGTTACTACTATGTATAACCATATCAAAATCTCTCCTTCACAACTTAAAACTTGTTGGGTTTAATCACATTTGGTTTTTCACTCTATTTACCTATCACGATATATACGTATCGAGCATATATATGAGTTGTCAATTCACCTATAAGTGACAAATTGTATTTTTCACTCGGACTCTCAAGATTAAAATTACATCATGCATTGCACATGTGGTTTATTTTCTTCATTATATCATATATTTTTATAACATACATAAATTTGTATATGAACACGTACAAAAAATCAAGATCGTATATAAATATAATTTTATAAAAATATATTGAAATACTCACATAAGTTGTAAACAAAAATTTAGTGAGTTTTAAGAACTGAATATACTAACCATAATAAATGACAACGGATATCCACGTCACCTGAGTTTCACGGTGCGTTGTGTGAATTAAACTGTCACGTTAATACTTTCGCGTACTGGTGATGAAAGGAGGGTTACGCTATGTGTACACCGTGTGCTGATAGGAGGATTCGTGGGTGGACGGTCCAGATTTAACGGATGGACTGATTCCTTGCTTCTTCTCCGCGCAAACCCTCTTCCCAATCCTTCCTTACTCACCCAAATTTGTGTTGCAAACCACTTTTTCAGGACAAGTAATATTAGTATTAATTATAATGTCTCTATGATTTGATACACACCCAAAAGAATTATGTTCTTAGGTCTAAAAACAAACATGGTATCATTCATTTACAACATGATCACCACCACACCCACTATAACATGTATCAATCATATAGCAACCTATAATGAAAACATTTCATCATTGACATTTCTTCTTTTCAAAGAAAAGATTAAAATATGTTTTCAAGTCAACCCAAATCAATTGTAATTTTAAAGAATTTAGGTTTAATAATTTTTGTCATTTTGAAATTTCAGAAACTGATTGATTAATATTGGGTTTGAGAAATTTGGTTTTCTCTTTTTTGTTATTCGGAATGGTAAAAAAGAAAAAAAAAAGGGTAAAGCCAAAATTAATGTCGATGAACAGAATGATTAGAGAGTGTTTGAACTTTAATTAGTAGAAGGAAGTGCAAGGTTAGTGGAGGGTTGTATTGTCTGCAACAGGCTCAGCCAATCTCAGACTTCCACTTCACACCAGAGATTAGACGGGGACCAGACCAGAGTCTTCTCTATTTGAGGCCCAGACCAGTCACTCTCACGCGGAAACACAAATGGATCGTCCTCTACAAGATATTCACACCTAAGTATCCTTCTTCTTCTTCTTCTTCTTCTTCTTCACTCTGAAAAACCAGAGTACCCACTTGCTTTTCTGCATGCAATTTCAACCTTTTCACACTTGAAATCTTCTTTCTCTATCTTGTTATCTGTTTCTCGGCTTCCCTTAATTTTTCCTTCTTTTTTTTTTCCTGACTATGGAAGATGATACACGGTTCTCTCACTTTGGTTTTGTGAAATCGGTGGTGAAATCAGTCGTCTTTTCTTGATCTCCTTCTTCCCTCACCTTATACGGGTCTTAAAAAAACAAAAGCACCCACCAAACAAAAACATATATTGCCTTTTTCTGATTTTGTTTTATTAAGTTCGTGCTTGTCCCCTTTTTAAAATTCGACTTACAGACTTCCTCATAAAACGCCATTTTTATTTTGAGATCAAAAACTTTTTAACCCAAGCCTGATCCTGATCAAGACAAGAACAAGATTCCATCTCAAAGGAAAATGCAAGACCCGGCATCAACTTTTCACCAGGCAATGATGAAGCCACAGTTCCCAGAACAAGAGCAGCTCAAATGCCCGCGCTGCGACTCAAACAACACCAAGTTCTGCTACTACAACAACTACAACCTCTCTCAGCCCCGCCATTTCTGCAAGAGCTGCAGGCGCTACTGGACCAAAGGAGGAGCTCTTCGCAACATCCCGGTCGGGGGTGGGTCACGAAAGAACACCAAGCGCTCGTCTAATAACCCCAAACGACACGCCAACTCCTCTGATCCCAACCCGACCCGCAAGGCTCCAGAACCCGCACCACCCTCCCTGTCGACCGCAACTTCCCAGCAAATGGCATCGAACCAAGGTGTTCTGGGTTCGGGTTTGGATCAGGATCCGAACCGTGTTTACGGATTGTCGGTCGAGCAGGACAGGAAGGTACTGGATATGGGTATGAATGGAAGCTTCAGCTCGCTTTTAGCGTCGAATGGGCAGTTCGGGAGCATTCTGGAGGGGTTGAATCCGAATGGGTCGAGCCTCAAAATGGTACAAATGGGTGATTTAGGAGAGAACTTGGGGTCGGGTCATGGGCTGGATTTGGTTTCGGACAGCGGAATTGGTTTGCAGGGGAACAATAATGGTAACGACAATGGCGGTGGTGAGAGTTATTGTTGGAGTGGAAGCAGTAATGGCTGGCCTGATCTTGCTATTTAGACTCCCAAGTTCAAATTATCAGGAGAGAGACAGAGAGAGAGAGAGGGAGAGATTACAGGTATCCCCCCCCCCCTCCCCCCTCCCCTTTTTTTTTCTTCTTCTTGTTGTCAATGGTGATGATTAAGGTATAATTTTGATAGTAATTAGAAGCTAAGGTGGCATTGCCTTGCACGATGCTATACAAAGTGATAATACCACAAAGAAGCCACACAAGATAGCAAGCTATTCATTCTATAGGTGATATGGGTTTTTTCTTTTCTGGTGTCTTTTTGTGTGTGGTGGTGTTTGTTATAAATATATATGTATGATATAAAAATGTTAAACAGACTGTTAATGGGTATAAAAGAAAATGATCTCCTTTTTTTTTTCTTTTTTTTGAACTCCTGATGACTTATCAATGTCTTCATACTGTAAATTTTACTCAACAAGAATGTGTTTAAGATGATGGCTTGAAATCTAGTTTTTGTGTCAAATTGATGTTAAGATTTTGATTACAGAGAGAAGGGGAGAATAATTTTGTTAGTATGTGAAATTGATGGAATGGGGGAGTAGATATGGAAGATCCAATATGTAATTGTTGAAGGTGTTTGTTTGTTTAGATACTGTCTATGAAAAGGCAAGACAAAAGTTATACTTGGCCTCACCCACTTGGGATTTTATATCTTTACATAAATTCTAATCTTCCTCTCTAATTTGCAAATTGTCAAGATTCAAATATTCTCTCAGTTCCATCTTGTTGACCATTTCTCCAACAAAGCATATGCAGAACATTATTTGATGTACATACATACATACATACATACAAACATACATACAAACATACATAGGTACCATCTTTCTCCCAAACCAAATAATTTCCCCACCATCTATTCCATAATTTTTGCACCACCTACATTACCATAATTATTAACTGAAATTGGTAGGTAAACTGGGAATTGATGATTTTGTCAAACCAAAACATGAAAAGATTTGCTTTGTAAATGGTCCACACACACACACACTGCCACCATTGCTCAACAACATCATCATCTGCAACCAACCACATGATATGGGTCTGTTCAATCACATTGCTACAAATGGGGAGATGAGGCCCACCCTAGGGTGGATATTGGATGGTGAAAGGGACCCACTTTTTGGGGGAAAAAATCAAATCAAACGGTTGAAATTTTCACTCGGGTCTTGTGAAAAAATTTTCAATAAAATGGAATGAAGGAAATGGAAATGGTAAAAGTTGTGGTTGGTGCTGGTCCTGGTAGAAGGTAATGGAAACTATACTTGGCAAAACCTATCTTAATTAGATCGGCCCTTGACTTCAATGGGTTTCATGCCCACCGAATTTGAAGCTATCACTTGCCTTTTCCTTTTCTCAGCAATTAATGTGAAGTGGGTCAGTTCCCCATAAATGAATATATTGTTCCATTGACTACCCTTCTACTGTTTGTTTTTGTTTGTTTTTTTTTGCACTGCAGCTGGGTTTCATTTTCATTATTATGGACAGGGTAGAGGTTAACTATGGTGGAACATGGTCAAACTGAATTGGGTGTGTGATTAACTTGGAAATAAGTAAGGCATATTATATATATATATATATATATTACAGGAAAAAAGAAACTGCATAATATGCTTGAGGTTTTCTGAAAATTATAATTGCATACACTATTTCTAGTGGAAAAAGAAGTACTAACTGCTTGTGTGTAAATATGTTTTAGACATAAAACCAAAATTTGTATGGTATTTGAAAGACTCGATCCAACATGTGCGTAAGTCATTACAGATAGAGCGCAAATAGAATACTTCTTCTCGTGCAATATGTGCGCGAATGGACCAAATTAGTCTTCGTATCGCACCAAAATTCTAACTCTGAAACTATACGATATTGAAAAGATTCAAACAATGGTTAGAATTTCTATTCAATGATAAATAAATAGTTGTTGATGTTTCAATCAAGCTAACAATGTTGGACTTACAAAACAATTAGCATAGCAGTGTTGAGAGGGGCATTCATAATACTTACTGGTTGACCTGTAAGTCTCCTTAATTATATACTTTGAGAAGAAAAAAAAAAAAAAAAACTATGTTCCATATCTAAACATGTGCTTGGTCAACAACAATGTCTCCTCAAAGATGCTGTGAACTTGTTTGATTGGATTTATGTTGTAAAAAACCTAAAATTCGTGACTGTAACAATCTCCATCATCTTCCTCCTCCGGCCACTATCCATTAACTTCCTCTTTTTCGTTATCTTTTGCTTCCAGTTTTCCTATTCCTATACCTCTCTGTGGTTCAACTTTGTCTCTTCTTCCTTTTCCTCTGTGTGCATCATCTCGTCTTTGCATATGGCCATTCTTCGATCTGTTTGTAGGAGGATAGCCAGAGCTTTCGCTACCTATCATCTCGTACTTCTCTTTCAATCCTCCTCCCTTTTCCACTCTTCGCAATATATACTTTCGGTCTCCGTGCTCATTTTCCTCTTAATCCAGGATAGGTTTGAGTTTATATCAGAACAGGTTCAAGTTTTATAAAACTCACCCTTACTCGGGTTTTGTATCATCTCTAATTTAGGTCTATATAAACAAAATACAACCACTAACAGAAGTTCTTCACGTACACCAACAACAAGTGTGAAAAGGTTGAAATTGCATGCAGAAAAGCAAGTGGGTACTCTGGTTTTTCAGAGTGAAGAAGAAGAAGAAGAAGCAGAAGAAGGATACTTGGGTGTGGATATCTCGTAGGGGACGATCCATTTGTGTTTCCGCGTGAGAGTGACTGGTCCGGGCCTCAAATAGAGAAGACTCTGGTCTGGTCCCCGTCTAATCTCTGGTGTGAAGTGTAAGTCTAGGAATGGCTGAGCCTGTTGCAGACAATACAGCCCTCCACTAACCTTGCACTACCTTCTACTAATTAAAGTTCAAACACTCTCAAATCCTCATACACATTATACATAATATTCACTAATTCAGACAGCTTTACAGATTTAGTTTTTTAAGAACATATATGTACGTATGTATACGTACTCTCACATGGCAAAATATATACATATATTGACGCACGCAAATTCGCTCGTACAATTTATATTATATACATTACTATACCTTCGCACACAAAACATATATATACACCCCTACACACATATTTTCCAGTTTATATATATATATATTACAATTACATATTAATAAAGCACATGGTGATAGTCGAGTTCTTTTAAAACTCGGAGTTAGAGACCATATGAGACGCAGCGTAATTCTAGCGGAATGAATTGAAAACGGACTTGTATTTACATTCGCATTGTACATATATATGTATATCTCTATATCTCTATATATATCTATATATCATAATTAGGCAACCTTACACATGCAGTGCAATTATTCCGAAGTTTGAAACACGTAAACACTTGAACAGCTCTGAATTCAAAAGAGACAACCCTCTGCGTCAATATAACTCACACACACACACACATATATATATATAATCAGCTGGTCTTCGTTGACTGGAGGGGTCGGCTGGAAGACAGCAATCTTCGGTCGTTTATTACATGTATGCGAAGTTTCATATATATATATATATATATATATATATGTTAAGATGTATATAATCGTGAGTAGTATTTATATGATATCAATGAGATGTATCCTAGTCTGAAACACGTGTTTATATAATGAGTATATTCCTGCCATCACCAAAATTTGTTCTCTTTTCCAGTTAAAAAAAAATCTGATGGAATATTCTTTTAATGTTGCAGGTTCTGAGGAAGGCAGACTCTGGAAAAAGGTGGAAGGCTGTGGCAAACAACGTGACTGGCATTTTAACAACTTACCCGAACATTCGTGTAATATTCCCTTTCGGTCAACCTTCACGAGCATGCTTTCCTTTTCTGATTTCTCCTAAATCCTTTCTGATATGTAGATATGTGTATATATATATGTATGTATGTATGTATTCAATCTCATTCATCTTCTTCTCTTGATTCTCTAGAAACAGAGTTTTCTTGTTTTTCTCAAGAAACTGCAATGGCGAAAATTATTATCGTTTTCGATTTCGATAAGACCATTATCGATTGCGATAGCGATAATTGGGTTGTTGATGAGTTGGGCTTCAATGTTAAATTCGATCAACTTCGTCCCATGATGCCCTGGAATTCTCTCAAGGGGAGTTCCATCTTTGTTTCTCATCACCGTTTGGCTCTCTTCAATTTCTTTCGTTGCCTGATTTTCTGTCCGACGATTTACAGGATACGATGATGAAAGAACTCCATTCCCGAGGAGTATCCATTGAAGACATTGCGGAGGTTATACAACGGGCGCCGATTCATCCTCGGATCATTACAGCCAATAAATCAGCTCGTGCTTTAGGGTATGTTTATTTACGAGTGAATGAATGATCATCGTCGTCGTCGTCATCTTCTGTGTCTTAAAGATTATATATCTTACATGTTGAGAATATTCTCAGGTGTGATCTGAAAATTATAAGCGACGCCAACACTTTCTTCATCGACACAATCTTGAAGCATCACGGAATATGGGAATGCTTTTCTGAGATAAACACGAATCCGAGTTTTATTGATGAAGAAAGGAGGCTGAGGATTTTGCCTCAACATGATTTCACCAAATCTTCTCATGGCTGCAAAAATCCATGTCCGCCAAACATGTGCAAGGTGGTATGCAAGAACCTTTCAAACAGAAACTACTTCGTTCCCCAAAACAAATTTATTCGTTTCTAATTAGGATTTGGCCATTTTAGGGCGTGGTAATTGAAAGAATCAAAGCAGCGGAAGGCAAGAAAAAGATGATCATCTACCTGGGAGATGGAATCGGCGACTTCTGTCCGAGCTTGAAGCTCGACAATGGAGATTACGTGATGCCCAGAAAGAATTTCCCAGTTTGGGATTTAATATGCAAAAATCGGAGCGCGATCAAAGCAGAGATACATGAATGGGGAGATGGAGAAGAGATGGGGAAGATGTTATTGGGGCTTATAATCAACGCAATCTCCATGCAACGAGAACAGCAGGATTTAACCTCTCCAAGAATGGATTTCAAGTTTCCTCCCACTGTTCTTGACGCATTGCCTAGTCCACTCTCTGTTCCTCATTAGTCAAATTTTGACAGGCTAAACCCAAAATTCACTTCTTCCACGAGAAGAATTTCAATTGCTCTGATATACATATATTGTAGAATCACAAGACCCCCTTAAGAATGATATTTTACAAAAGATTTCTCTCAACCTGTTTTTATACCGAAGAGTATTTGATCAAACTGAAAAATTATTCATCTCTAATTATTGAAATTCTATTTTACAAACTTGAGATTGTATATTTTGCAATTTAAGTATAAATTTCGTGTTAAATTTAGTACTGCATAAATTCAATTCAATCCTAAGAAAAATAAATCAAATTGAAATTTCTTGAGGACTATTTTCGCCATTGAAATTTCTTGAGGAAAACAAAACAACTCTGTTTCTAGAGAATCAAGAAAAGAAGACGAACGAGATTGAATGGAGTAAGAGGTATGCATACATACATATATATATATATATATATATATATATATATATTACAGAAAGGGTTTGGGAGAGAAATCAGAAAAAGAAAAGCTTGCTGGTGAAGGTTGACTGGAAAGGGAATATTACGTGAATGTTCGGGTAAGTTGTTAAAGGGCTAGTCACGTTCTTTGCCATGGCCTTACACCACCTTCCAGAATCTGCCTTCCCCAAAAAAACCTGCAACATTCCTATTTGATTTTTTGGTCTGTTATGATAAGATTTGTATTAAAAGTTTTAATTTTGTTGTACGTAATTAACTTTAATCAGGTACAGAGCATTGATTGAAAGATATGAATCTCTGGTTATAATCCACCAACACCATTATTGTTTTTGCCAAAATGGTAGACGAGTTCTTGGGGAAAATACATGTATAGATATTACGTTGTTTCTTGAAAAACTAATTTTACAGTTACTTCACCAAAGCTAAAATTTTCATTAGTAATTTTCTTTGGTTAGTGAAGAACGCATTACTGAGGAACTGGTAGAACCTTGGGCAAGGTTTCATGCTCGACGACTGAAATTGTTTTGAACTTGCAGTAATCTCCCGAAATCAATTGACAAATATTCTCCTCTTCTTCCTCCATATAAATTTTGTCGATGATCTGCAGCAAGATATATTCAAGCTCCTCCCCATTACTCCATTCGTGAATCTCAGCTTTTACCAACTTCGTATTTTTACTGATTAGATCCCACACCGGAAAGTTCTTTCTTGGCATTACATAATCTCCTTCGTTTAGCTTCAAACTGGGACAGTAATCCCCTGCGCCATCACCAAGATATATCATCTTCTTCTTCTCCTTTCCTTCCATGGACAAGGAAGCTTGAATCCTCTCAATTATCAAACCCTATTTTAAAATCAAAACCCACCAAGGAACAGACTCATTACATATATCTACTTATCTATCTTTATGCATACGTATAAATAAGAAGACTGAAATGTATGCCTACTTTGCACATGTTTGGAGGACAAGGATTAATGCAGCCATGGGGAGAGTTGCAGGTGAAATCGTGATAAGGAAAAATCCTGAGCCTTCCTTGTCCATCAACAAAACCTGGATTGGTGTTGATCTCTGAGAAATAATCTCTGATTCCATGATGCTTCAAGATGGTTTCGATGAAGAACATATTTGCATCGCTCACGATCCTCAGCTCGCACCTATATATACCTCAGGAATCAAAACATATTTATTCTCACTGTTCAAAACTTGCTTGAGTGATGAAAATCATTTGGTTAATTATATACCCTAAAGCAAAGGCAGATTCAATTGCTGGGATTACTCGAGGATGGATCGGAGTTCGTTTCAACACTTGCTCGATGTCTTCCATGGTCTTGCCTTGTGAGTGAAGCTCCTTCATCATCCTATCCTGCATTATGTTTAACATACTGTAAGTAATCACTGCTGCATAATCAAAGTATAAATAAGATAATTAACCCCATGGAGATCAAAGATA